GAACCCTAAATCTAGGTGTGTCTTATATCCTGGTGCGTCTTATAATCTGAAAAATATGGCAAATGCGTGCAAATACCTACCTATCAAGGGTACGTTGTCGGAAGGCGGCATGCTTTCCGCAACCATGAGCTGGAAGACGGTTAGAGAAAGCAGCACCGTAACCCCGAGAGAGACTTTTTCTCCCGAGTCTGCAGGAAGGTAGAATCCCAGCGGAGCAAGGAACGATATCAAGAGACAAGGAAGCAGCAGGTTGAATATATAGAACGAGGACTTCCTTTTCAAGATGAGAGTGAAGGTGACATCTGGATAAGGCTCGGAGCAACAGCCGTAAGTAATCACGTTCTTCACAGCTGGCATGCCATGGATCTCCCACTCCACGTCCTCTATGAGGTCCGAGAGGTCCCCGGAGTCTAACATGGTGAAGATGTCCACCTGGACCCCGTTGTAAGTCCAAGAACCAAAGGTCAGGTTGCACTGCTGGCTGTCGAAAGGGAAGTAGGATACGTCCACCACGCAGGAGCTCTTCGTGATGGCTGGGGCGTCCCAAGTGATCTTCCCATCGGACCTCAAGACGATGTTGGTGTTCACCGGTTCAGAAAAGTCATCATCGGCCCTAAAACAAAAAGACAGAAGAGTACACAGCAATATTATTGACATTTATCTCTTTAACTATTGACATTCATCACAATCTTCTTACAAATATAGAAAACATGGTTGAGGTCACTTTCTTGTCTCCATCTTGTTTTGCAACAACCCTACTCCTTCTGTCTTCCTCCTTCCGTCAACCTCCTTTCTCTACCTTCTCCATTCCTCCTCTCCTTCCCCTTTTCTTCTTCCTCTCCCTTTCCCCCACTCCTCTCCTTCTTGCCCTCTCTCCTACTCCCCTCCCTTACTTCCTCTGCTTTACCCTTTCTTCCTTTCCCTCCTCTTTCTCTCTCCTTTCTTCTTCCCCCCTCTTTCCCCCTCTTCTCCTCCCCTCTTCTCCTCCTTACCCTCTCTCATTCTCTTAATTCCCCTCCCTTACTTCCTCTGCTTTATCTTTTCTTCCTTTCCCTCCTCTTCCTCCCTCCTTTCTTCTTCCCCTCTCTTCCCCCACTCCTCCTCCTCCTCTCTTCTCCTCCTCACCCTCTCTCCTTCTCTTAATTCCCCTCTCTTAATTCCCCTCCCTTACTTCCTCTGCTTTACCCTTTCTTCCTTTCCCTCCTCTTCCTCCCTCCTTTCTTCTTCCCCTCTCTTTCTCCCTTTCCTCCTCCCCTCTTCTCCTCCTTCTTACCCTCTGTCCTACTCTTAATTCCCCTCCCTTACTTCCTCTGCTTTACCCTTTCTTCCTTTCCCTCCTCTTCCTCCCTCCTTTCTTCTTCCCCCCTCTTTCTCCCTTTCCTCCTCCCCTCTTCTCCTCCTTCTTACCCTCTTTCCTACTCTTAATTCCCCTCCTTTACTTCCTCTGCTTTACCCTTTCTTCCTTTCCCTCCTCTTCCTCTCTCCTTTCTTCTTCCCCTCTCTTTCCCCCTCTCCTCCTCCCCTCTTCTCCTCCTTCTTACCCTCTCTCTTTCTCTTAATTCCCCTCCCTTACTTCCTCTGCTTTACCCTTTCTTCCTTTCCTTCCTCTTCCTCCCTCCTTTCTTCTTCCCCTCTCTTTCCCCCTCTCCTCCTCCTCTCTTCTCCTCCTTCTTACCCTCTCTCCTTCTCTTAATTCCCTTCCCCTACTTCCTTTGCTTTACCCTTTCTTCCTTTCCCATCTCTTCCTCCCTCCTTTCTTCTTCCCCTCTCTTTCCCCCTCTCCTCCTCCTCTCTTCTCCTCCTTCTTACCCTCTCTCCTGCTCTTAATTCCCCTCCTTTACTTCCTCTGCTTTACCCTTTCTTCCTTTCCCACCTCTTCCTCCCTCCTTTCCGATGTTGCCCTTATTTATTTCCTTTCTCTAATGGATCCTTGGGATGACCCGATGTTATGAGAAGTGGGATTATCTTGACTAGGAGAGTTGCTGTTGTGGCTCGCCAGTAGCCAGCGGAGCAGGCAGCCGATTCGGAAAGTGAGGAGGTTGGGGAGGAACATGGCTCAGTCCTGGAGTCAGGGGAAGGCTCT